TAGACAAAATAGATTAAATAGTAATATATTTGCAGGAAATTGTGAAAAATCTATAATAGCACAAAGAAATACTATTTTATATTTAGAAATACAAATAAATAATCTAGAATATCAACTACAACATAATTTTTTTAAAAAAAAGGAAAAATATGCAATAGACGAAAAATTATTTGAAAACTATGAAGGATTAAAAATAAGAATAATATTTTCTAATCTAGGAAGAAGATATAAGAAAATAGGTGAAAATTTAAGTTTAATGTTAGAAAAAGAAACGGTAAAATTAGAAGATAGTTTAACTGCTACGGTGAGGATAGCAAAAGAAAATGAAGAAATAAATAGAAAAATGGAAATTGAAAAAATAAAACATCAGGCGAAGAAAGAAGTACAACAAATAGAAGAAGTAAAAAATAAAAAAAATTAGAATTAGAAAAAGAATTAGCAATGTTGGAAGAAATGTATGAAATAAAACAAAAAGAAAAAGAACAGAAAAGAAACTTAGCAAATGAGATAAACAAATTTAAAGAAAGATTGCAATTAGAAGATAAATCAGAAGAAAGTAATCAAGATAATCTAACTAATTTGCCAGAAGTAAGAATTGATGATATCAACGATTATTTAGAAGAACAACACTCAGAGATAAGTGAAACATATACAGAACTTTTAGACAATATAGATAATACAAAAAATGTAGAAATAAATACAGGAGATATAGACATGAATGAAAAACCTAGTACATCAGAAGTAAAAAATTCAAAATACTTAAATCCAACATATTAATATATAAGTTATGAAAAATACGATAAAGAAAAAATTTTATGGGATAAAAGATTAAATAAATGGACACCTAAACCAACAACTGAACAACACAATTTTGTAGATTTAGATTGTGTAGCAGATATAAATAAAACAATTCAATTATGGATGGGATATATATCAAAACAATTAATAGATAACAAAATAGGAATGACAGAAACACCAGGATATATAGGAAAAAACACTTATAGGAACAGTAAAATTATGGTTACAAAATTTAACGGAAGAAAGTATAAAAACTTTAAGAAATAATTAAAAAAAAACTAATGGAGAAACAGATACAACATCTATGGAAATATTAAATAAATACGAAATAGCTATAAGAAATGAATTTAGTAGTATGACAACAGAAGTAGAAGAACAAAATAAAGAAAAAGTTATAACTAGAAATTTAATGGCAAAATTGACAATATGTAATATGTGTTATATAGATGAATATACATGTGCATTTAGAAAATATTACTATAAAGGAACATATAACATAGAAGAAAGTAAGGATATAAGAAAATTATATTCTACAAAATTACCAGAACCTTTTAGTTCAAAAATAATAAAAAGTTGGAATGAAGCAGAATTAACAGATACTTTCAGAGCTAGAATGAAATTCTTACAACGATGGTTTACAGAATTATGTGAAAAACATAAAGAAGATGTAAAAATGAAAAAAAGTATTAGTAAAAAAACTTAGCATGTTGCAAAAATAAAATAACACCTCAATTTGATTGCACAGATAGATATTATAAAAAGAAGTATAATAGAAATAAAAATTATAAAAAATATAGATCAACATATATATATATATAGATCAACATATATATATATATATATATATATATATAT